TGCCACTGACAGGAGCAAACACACACACACACACACACACACACTACTTAAATCTGACATTGAATCGTAATAGACTAGGTACTACAGGTACATGACAAGTATGTGTGCATAACAGGCATTGAGAGAGTATGTGTGAGGATAGAGGATAGAGCTGCTTCTCATATGTGCTGTTTATGCTTTCAGGATGAAACAAACCTTACACATACAATCTAAGGCCCATTAAGCAAGGACAATGAAATAAAGGACAAGACTGAGGGCCACAGAGACCAAACACAGACAGCAGTTCACACGCACACATAAACACCTTGACAATCTCATCAGACAAAAAACGTGTAAAGAGACACATTTTCTCATCTGTAAAGATATCAGTTCCTTTACACCTGCACAGGTGAATTATGAGAGGAACACCGTCACAAAAAACAACACACTGTGAGAGAGAAAATGTGGAAGACAACAACAACAAAAAACAGAAGGAGACAAGCGTTTATAAACAATTCTGAAGACTTGTTTTGAAAATCATAATTAAATGGCATTTTTTTTCTGTTTAAAGTATATTGCCGTTTTCTTATGTGTTACACTAGGGTGCAAACAGCCAATCATGTTGGCAAAGCAACTTTTCTCCACCCACAACTGCTCAGATATTACTTCTATTTACACTTTGTGTAAATGACATCTATCACTATTTGCACATATTGCAAACAAGATGCTATTTTTATATACACTAAGATTATAAAAGTATATAAAAGTTTATAAAAGATTATTTAAGTAAGCTTGTATAATGTTTTTGAAAGAAGTCTGCAATTATTTGATCCGCAATTCAGTAAAATATGGTAACATTGTTAAATATTATTTCAATCAATAATGTGTTTTATGCATTTCGTAACAAATGATATAGAAAATAGTAAGTAAAATTTTTGTTTGCTTTAATGGATTTTAACATGTCCTTTTAATTACTTGGAGAACAAAAAAAGTGAACATAATATGATTTTAAATGTTAATGTTTTCAGCATTTGATTTTCAAAAACGATATTTCTGTAATATTGTAATATTTAATAACAGAAACAAGTGACATAAACACCATTTTCCTAACAAAAAGCCTTTTAAAATAACTACTATGTCAAGAGAGGAGCTTTTTTTTTTCACAGAGTGATAAAGTGTGATACTGGCTTGACAAAGCAGATTTGACGATTGCCGTCTAGTATTGCAAAATAATATTTAACAAGTACTTTACTATAGCAGTGTCAGTCTTAGAATCCCAAGAGAGAAAATCTCACAAAATAGTCCTTTATCGGAAACTCGAATACTCAGGAAGGTAGCAGGTAAAATAAACACAACTAACATTGATGACGACTGACACCAAACTGAACCAAAGTATTTAGACACCGAGAAATGACTAATCAGATGAACTGAGAAACTAAGTCAAGACAGACAAACTAAGAACAAAGTAAGCTGATGACAAGGAAACATGACAAGCAGGGTTACTCATTCCTGGATGTCATTTTCCAAGTAAACAGAAAGAACTTGATTAGTTGATTCAGATGCTTTTAATTAGACTTAGAGGTAAAATGTGTATATACGGTCTCGTAGAGCTTGTGATTACAACTTGTAAGTTACCAATTTTCTGAGAGCACCTACTTGTACTACCTGACTGCCGCAGATTCATTTAGACGTTGATAGTTGCTAAAGAAATGCATAATTCTGCTCAGAGTAGAACATCAAGTTGTCATCTTAAATTTATGGTAATTATGACGCGGCAAAACTCTGCAGGAAAATGTCTCTCTAGGATCAGGAGTGAGGAACTCTGGGATTTCGAGTTTGACAAAAAGGGTCATGGTTCAAGCCAAGTAAAGCCAAACTGTTTAATCCCAACCCAAGGCTACGGGTTGATAACCCAAATTTAAAAGTAAAAAGTAAGTCTGTGGATCCTGAACAGAGATTGGCAGTAAGCAGCGAGCGAGTAGGCCTCGTATTTAAACGGGTTTTATGACGAGGTCGGTGAGGATGGGAAAAATCTTACATTTTTGTGCAAACTTTGCCCGTCTAAAAAAATAATTGTTGTCTGTGGCAATAAAAAAATAAAAAAAGCTCGCAACATATGGAAAAAAGAACTATGAATGAACTAGCTCATTTTTTGAAGTATGAACTATGAACTGGACTAGTTCATTTTAACTGAACTTTGAACTAGTTGATGTAGAAAGTGAACTTTCCCAACATTTGCTACAGGTTACATATTATACCCAAATAATACATTAGTTATCAAATTGGCTGCTCAATCACACCTTAATTGATCTGAAATTTCGACCTGATTGAAAGGGGAGGTTTATTCCTTTTCTAATCCAATCGAGAGAACATATAAACACTTGATTGAATTGAAAACTGAAACTGAAAGGACTGCGCATGTGCAATGATGTCAAAAAACCTCTCAAAATGCTGGCTGTGGATGAGAAAAACGCAGAAAATCAAACCCAATTAATTTTTTTAAGACAGACGAAAGTTTCAGAGGCAGTGTGCAAGCGTGATTGACATAACGTGAGGTCGAACGTGAGGTTTTTTAACGTGCAAAGATTTCGGATGTGAATTTCAGACTCAGTGGGCAATGGCCTTAACACGGTAACATTGACTATCGCAGCAAGCCTAGTAGCCATATACCCTCTTTCCTAATATATCCTTACCTTCAAGAAAACATCAGGATCAAGAGGTCTGCACTTTTTCCTTCAGATTCCTCGGCGTAATGACTTTGAGAACTGCTGATTTTATTAGGTGTGATCGGCTCACCCACTCTGAAAATTACCAATTGAGTTTCTCCAGACCTGGGCAGGGGACTCAACCCCACAGTGGGTCACAGTGTGCGTTTAAACTTTGTCACCCATGCGCATCACACTCCCTAATCTAATGATAAATGAATCATGATTTTAGACTGACCCACTATTTTAACAGTTTTACTACAAGACTGCTGACACGGGAGCTTTAACAGGCTCCACTTTCTTCCGTCGGACAAAAGGCCCGAGTTACCTCACAGCTGTTGTGTGAGAAGATATGACTGGCCCTTTTATTTTTGAAACAATTAACACGATAAATTAACCTAATGCTCAAGTCAGCCAGTTTTACAACTTCCTTACAGCCTCATTGTCTTTCCCTTCCGCTCTTGTCAACACACGTCTAACCAGAAAACGTCTTGTATGTTAGTGGTTTTCTTGCCTTGCGACTTTGAGAGGACAGGGAAAGGAGAGAAGAAGAAATCAATAGGGAACCAAATTGGAGAAATTCTTCCCATTACTCTCCCTGTTTCCCATTCCACACACCACATCACAGATCCAGCAGCTGCCGCCGCTCTGGTCGCAGCTCATCCTCTTCAGACACACACAAACACACACTCACTGACAGGTGGTACACACACAAACAGGCAGTTTGCACTGATATGTTGTCTCTTTTCTTGTACTGTGATCGCTTTTAGTTTTTTTATGTTTGGGTGACACAAAACATCATGATTTACTTTTATCATAGTTCTCTCTTTCTCTCTCCAACAGACATCAATTGAGTTTGAATCCGTCGTAAAGCCACAATGATGTGATTCATACTGAGATTTATGACTGCAGCTTGTCCACACGCTCACCCACAGCAGTTTGACTCCATCCGTCAGCCAGAACAATTCTGAAGCTCATCAATTTCAATCTGGTTAGATCTCCAGCATCAAAATTTAATACATTATGCGAGTTCGATAATGCAGAGACTCCAACTTCACATTAACATGGACCTAATGATACTGATGCATCATCCTCAAATTTAGCGAACACACAAACAATACGAAGGGAGGAATCAGTGTTTAAATTAAGGAGGCTTCTATTATGTGCTGATGGCTGATGCACAAGTTAAGGGCTTTAACACCATGTTATTATTGCAGCGCACAGTGTTTAACCCCAGGTTTTCGTTGTTCTAAAACTCACTTTTAACCTCTGGGTAAAGGAACTTTTCACACTAATTTAGAAGTGGAGTTAGCACTGATATTACCCAGGGGTTATGAAACTCTGCTCCGGCCCCAGACTGCGACCAAATGGTTGCATTTTTCTACCTCTAAATTTGTTTAGAGGTCGCACTGGTGCAAACACCATGTTGCCCAACTTATAAGAGCTGCAATTTCACATATGAAAAACATCAAATGAAACGAAAGTGGTATGAAACTGCACTTCTTGTTTGAGCTACGTACGTAGCAAGGACAGTTTATCAGCTCAGACCAATATTAAAGATGTCATATGTAATAATTGAGGTAAAAATATCCAAAAAATGAGCTACACGCATCAAAAGAATGAGAAGAAATAAGTGCAATGATGTCATTAAAAAACTGACAAGTTATAGTGCTGCCAAGATATAAACCTAAATTAGCATGCTAAATTACTAGCCCCGGCCCGGCAGGTGTCGTAATACCAGTTTCGGCCATGGGAGGCGGTATTGAATTTGTGAGAGTTGGCAGCTCTGAATGGCGCTAGCTTGATCAACATCAGCGAATGCTGTCTGTCATCAAACTAACAATAAAAGTGTAATATGAACAAAACGAATACCGTAAACTTAAAATAATAGCCCAGGCTTTTATTTTCCCATATCGTCGAAATGCACCAGCTTGTTTTTGAGACAGGCGTCTATGAGACGGTCTTCATCATTTAGTTTAGTGTCAACCTTTTACTATCGTGTCAAATGATTTGAATAATATGTGCGAGAAAGAGAGAGCAAAAAAACAGCACTCGCTTGTGTTGTTGGAAGATGTGAGAGTGCGCGCGGTCGCGGCACAACTCACTTTCTGGAGGTATACTGCCCCCATCTGCTATGAAATATGGAATATGATTTGATTTTATGTGCCAGATGGCACCTTTAAACAGTGCAACACCAGCTCAGAAAAGGTTTACTCATGGGCCGATCTTGAGCACGCAACACAGTTACTACACAGTGCTGAGAGATTCGGTGAGAAAGCGTTTGAATTTGCTGCATTAGTAAGTGGCACATCTTACCCCATTATCCCTCTATGCCGTGTTTGAGAGCAGCCACTTCCACTCAACCATCCGGGAGTCTGATCGTGGAGAGATTGTGGCCATCTGCCTATTAGTTCAGCCTGAGGACAAGAACAACAAAAGAAAAGAAAAGGAGTTAATATATAATTTGCAACTCCTACAAACACATTGTAAATACAGTTGCAAATATGCAAATAAGTTCATGTTTATTTAACAAAATATGATATGAATAGCACAGAGCAATTATGCTCTATTTGTGTTTTGCTATAAAGTCTCAGGAACAGGATCAACCCTTTTTGTGAAGCTTTCTATTGATGTTGAGAGGAATGTCACATCAATCGTGCCATTTCAAAGAACTGCTCCACTGGGGAATCCAAACTACTTCTAAAAATAATGTGCCCACTGGAACAAAGTGAGCAGGGTTTCCCAATTCCTTCTCTATGGGAGCTAGGCATACAGTAAGGCCTAAAGAAGGGGACTGTGGGATTGGAAGCGGAGTAGAGAAAACAGCGTGAGCTTCTTCTACAGCAGGTACTTCTCTAAACAGAACAAAACCACCATTTCAGAAGAATGTCAGTATTTTATGAAATACCGGAAGAGAAAGAGAAATGACAATACTGTCTTGACCAGTGTTGTGTTACGCTCGTGTGTGATAATTCAACATAAGTACAGTACATCTTCATGGTACACTGCATCCTCCACAAGAGGCTTACAAGATATATTGTGCAGTGCAACCTGAATTCAGTTCTAAGTTTCTGGTCATGTTTACAGCTGATTTACGTGCTGAACCAACAGGGACATCACAAATAAACAACGCTCAGTGGGCACAATTCATTCTTAGCGATTTACCCGACTGAACGTCAAAGACAGAAAGAAAAGAGGTTAAATAAAGGGGAAGGGGGAAAAAGAGACAACTGGATTATGGAAAATTCTGAAAGAGAGGCTAATTTTAGAAACACTTGATGGTAAAATCACTCGGCACTGATCCAAAGTCACAACAACACTGCCAACGAGACGACAAAGTGCTCTATTCCTGTCCATTCTTTGACTATTTTTCTCTCTCTTTCTTTCTAAAAAAACAATGAAAGAATTCATTGTGCTAAATACAATTTAAAGCACACAGAATATAATTTCAAACTTTAAAACCTATTAAAAATGTTTACTATGGGAAATGTGTACGCCAATAATATTAGGTTTAATAACAGAAATGTAAAGAAAAAACACTTCATTTACTTTCCTTTTGAGGTGGTTGTGGTGGAACAGTTCGTATTATATACAAAAGTTACACAAAAAAGGACTTAGTTCTAAGACTAAGATAATTAAGAATGTACAACATCTACAGTAAGTTATTGCAGTTAGTGTTAATTTCAACATTTACAATACATTTTTAAAATCAGAGATGTATAGTAACGAAGTAGAACTACTGTACTTAAGTACTAAAATGCTATGTACTCTACAATTGTTTTTTTACTTCTACTTTTACTTCAGTAGATATTTTCGATAAATTTAATACTTTTACTTCGACATTTTTTTAATGTTATGCTAGTTACTCGTCGTTACAATTATAAAAATTTTACGAATCATTCGTTGCAAGTTGGCTTTCATGCTGCCTAAATCACACGCCAGTTTTATAGGGTAATGGTATTGATTGACACACATTGACAACTAATGCAGGAGTCGTCCTGAAATGGCATTTTTTTGGCGGCCGCCAAAGCAAATTTGTATCCCGCCAAAGCGCCTTATTTGATTGCTAGTTCAAACTTTTGACTGCTTTCTTTAATAATTACATGACACAATACTTGTAATTTTAGTACTTAAATAATGAATTTTAAAATAAACTACTTGCAATACTTAACTACAAAAAATGTTGAATACTTTAGTACTTCTACTTAAGTGTGGTGCTTAAAGAGCACTTCGACTTCTACTCAAGTCACTTTTTTGATAGAGCACTTGTACTTTTACTCAAGTCCGGGTTTCTAGTACTTTATACATCTCTGTTTAAAATCAAACATTGTACTATGAACGGACATGAACAATCTTGAAGATGACAAAGTATTCATGTATTTTGACATGTAACATGAAGAATTGTATTTTTAACATAAACATTTGCATTTAAGTAACATATTTATGTCATAGTTCAGCTCACACACAACAAAACGCACAGAAAGTAGAATCTGTAATAAAATCATTTAGTAATAATTGTTTCATTTGTACTATCGGCAGGCACATAAATATGTGAGCACAGACTTGAATTAGCACAGGATCAATGAGCCAGGACATTGAATTAACTAAACCAGCTCAGCCAACATTCACACACACACACACACACCTAATAGACGGACAGTTATAGAATTACAAGACACACACGTGCTACACAGCGTCCTTCAAACAGCACTCGGGGTGTAACACATTAGTTTAAGGAAATGACAGGAGCAATAATCAGACAGGTGGATGTTAGTGCTGACGGCGCTGTCCTAAAGGTCACAGTGTACTCACTCACACACTCAGACTAATCAACATGCTGTTAGTGTCTCTATAGAGAGAAGTATAACAGTCAAATATTGTGGTTAATTTATAAAACGAATAGTTTCAACTAAAGATGTTTGAGCCATGTTCATGTTTAGCCACAGACACACGTGTGATTTGGATATGTCTTGTCTAATCATTCTGCTTCTTAGACACCTGATCATTTATGTTCAGGGTCATTCGATTGAACAATGGTGTTACCGTTTCACTACATCTGCACAAATTCACAACTGGTACAGTACACTACTGGCAATGCAATGCATAGCCACCAAACGCATTATTCACTTTGTCTATCAGTGTTTAGTGTTTGCATGTGTGAGTATGTTTGTGTCATCCTGCTCTTTATAAAGCCTGGTGTAATCTTCTTGATTTGCTGGATTGACCCCACTTAATTCAATGGAACAGAATTGCTGTGACAGCAGCACTGAATGGATTTTCAATGCACTGCACCTGCACTAATAAGTTTAAGGATAACCTCCTTCCTTCAGCATAGAGACTGAAAAAGACAGAGAGAGAGAAAGAGCGACAGCGGGACAAGACAAATTAGCTCACAAGTCACTAACACACTTTACATAAACAAGGGTAACACATGCTTCAAAGAGAAACAATAAAATGTATCCATGCAAAGACACCCTCACACATACACTGGTCAACATACCCTTCTAGAGGCTAGGACATAAATTCTGATGTAAAGGCACTGAATATGTGGCCTATACTGCAGCAGAGCTCTGGATCAATGTGTGCTTTTAACGGCCTGTCTGCATAGGGTCTGGCCTGGGAGAGGACAATGTATGCTTCTAGCACACCCACATATAGTAGTCTGTAAATGAGAAAGCGACAGACAGCCAAATACAACAGCCGAGTTGAGCACAGGCAATGCAATCTGAACACAAAAACATGTGATGTGTCATAGTAGCCTATATACGATGTCATTCCCCAATATTACCATATATACAGTAACAGTAATATTTTTATTAGCACCTCACAGACTCGAATATGGCACGCAGGTTGGGCTGACACAATTATTAAATCACGATTAATCGTCTGAAAAATAATTTTTAGGGCTTTATCATACATTTTTGTGTGCTTCATTCAGTAAATAATTGTGATGAATTTAATCATTTGTAAGTTATTATTTTTCAGTGTAAGATACAACAATTGACAACAGAACCGGAAGAGAATACAATGCTGTAAAAAAATATTTTTGCACCAAAATGTATTTTCAATGCTTCAAATCATTCTAACATGGGCTACTTTGATGATGTCTTTATTTCCTTTCTGGGGAAGGACAGTACCGTACACACATTTTCAATGGAGGGACAGAAAACTCTCGGACTAAATCTAAAATATCTTAAACTGTGTTCCGAAGATGAACGGAGGTCTTACAGGCTTGAGATGACATGAGGGTGAGTCATTAATGACATCTTAGGAGGGGTGGTTCGGAATTTTGGACATCGGGCCTCATTTCCAAGTGAGCCTTAGTGTTATTTATCAGTGGAGACAGAAAATTTCATCCCAGTTGCCGGTTCTAGGCTAGTTGCCGGTTATAGGATAGACTGCTGGTGCTAGGCTAGCGCGAGTCAACGGTAACTTTTAGCATGCCATTAAAAACAGTTTTACCCACTCCACAGTACACCAAAAGCAAATCAATGGGCTCTATGCACGGCGGTATTTCCGGTGAAGGATTAAGGATGCTCGATAACTTCCGCCGATCGTAGAGTCCAATGCAATACCGAGAATTTATATTGAATTTTATACTCCATGGTTATAATAAAGAAACGTTAGTCACAAAAACAGATAAAACAGACACCACTTGTTGTGTTTATGCTTCTTTTAAAAATTATATTAAATAAACATAACTATATATAAAATTACATCTAAACGTATGTACGTTTCGTTTCAAAGACGGGAGGACAGTAAATTTTGAAGACTCTGCCATAATCCCGTTTTCCTCTGTTCTCCTCCGCTTAAATCTCCACAACCGGAAATGGACGAGCATCCTTGCGTCAAATGCGGAACTTATGCGTGCATATAGCCCATTGACCTTATGCACAGCAGCACTACTTCCTGAACTTAAGCCAGCTCCTTGTTTCCTGTCTGTCATTATTGGCCAAATTGATTAATCCAGCTGTGAGAGTAGTCACGGCAACAATAATCAGACACACCTGAATTAATCAAGGTCAGCTAATAATGGCAGACAGGAAACAAGGAGCTGGCTTAAGTTCAGGAAGTAGTGCTGCTGTGCATAAGGTCAATTATAACGCCAGACTATCGGTAAGTGTCTATTGAGAGAATAATGTTAGAAATCAAACTTTCCTTTTCATCTCATTGCATTACATTTACAGGAACTACTGTAGTTTCTCAGCAGCGGCGTAGCTAATTTTTACTTCACTCCGGTTAGTAGTAACGTTACTACTAACCGGAGTGAAGTAAAAATTAGCTACGCGAGTGAAGTAAAAATTAGCTACGCCGCTGCTGAGAAACTACAGTAGCCTACGTCACTGCGTCAAAAAGTAAACACAGAACAGAAGTGTATGATTTAAATCAAACAGCAACTTTTTTGTGAGTGTTCTCATACATATGTATTAGTGATGAAGATACATACAGACATACACATATATTAACATAATTAATCTTATAGGTCGATAGTTTGTAACCTACCTGTAAACAAATGAGCAGTCTATAATCAGTAAATAAACGTCACAGAAGCTGAGGCATTACTTTCCAGCAGGTGAAAATCCACTGCGAACGCATCATTCATAAAGTTTAAAACGCTTTGAGAGTCTGTGTAACTGAACTTTGGCATTCAATTGGTGTTAAGCAGGAGTTTATTCTCAAATATCTATTAGTTTGTCACATGACCTGGGTTCATTTCGACTTCTAGTATAAGGCTATCCAGCCACTTTCTTTTTACACAGATCAAATCCACAACACTGCTCCTTCTAATCAACAGTGCACGTGTGCACTTCTATTATGGCGTGTCATTCTGTGCGTAACTTCCAGTAGAGTTATAGGGCAACGGAGTCTGCCCTCTAGTGGTGACTAGAAAATATTACACAACAGGGTCACAGGCTGAAAAAGCCCACTGTTGCTGAAAAAGCCAAAGCTGTCATTCATTCATTCATTCATTATATATTTGATGGCCGTGGAGCAGAGAGGATACAGCAATCTGCGACCATTGATCACAAAGACAAGCGGGAAAATCCAGATCAGAGAGTTTGTGTTTAAACTGTCTTGTTCAAGAAAACAAACAAACAAATAAATGAATTTTAAATCGCAAGCCCTTCTTATTGTCCTTAATAACATATTGAGCACACAAAGTAACATTCAAGACCATTAGACCAGTTCTAATTATATGCTCCCAAATTAATTCCTGGCTCTTATTCCAGAATCCAAAAACATATTATATTCATTCAAGTAATACACATTAATTAGTTTTTCTGAATTGCACCAATTTTTCAGAAATAATTGCAACAATTTAAAATATAACTTGTGCACTTAGTGGATACGTAACTGTCTGGTCCTTCCGGTATCGGGTCGCCACCTCCAATTTATTTTCGAGACATGGAAAAAGTTGTAACAACTGCCTTGTTTATCAGAGCGGGGAAATATTTAGACTGTACAAAACTGTCTCTTGGGTGTCGCGACTCAACAGGTCCCACTCTGTGCGACACAGTCACTCCTGTTCGGTGCCGATAAGCTTCACAATGTCTGCAGGTACACCACTAGTTTGCCGAAGTACGAGGCTGTGTCCGTTAGATGTATTAACTAGCGATTTTTATTTTTGATTACTCTATGCCCTATATACTAGAGATAAAAGAGTTTTTAGAGATCCAACTCTTTATATTCGATTATCATGAAAAATCTCAGAGAACAGTTGACTAGGTACCAATGTGTTATTAGACCAATGGTTCATTTTGCACCGGAGTTGTATTTTAAGTGCAACATTTTGAGTCCATTTTGGCTCTAAATTGACTCATTATGTAGGCCTATAGGCTACAGTTGGTTTGGTCCCTAAGGTTTGGTCACATCATAGGAAATAAGAGTGAACATTTTTGAGTTGTTGTGTGTAAACGATGACAACTGTATTGTAGTTGTGTTTAATTTGTGCCTGCCTGTGTTAAGCGTTTTGAAACACTCGTGCATCACGGTTTTTAAGTGAGGATGTGTTAAAGAGTTTTACAAAAGAGTGCATGAGATTTGCAAAGTGTTTTGACCCGAACTTGTTTAATGATTTACAGGAATAGAGATTTAATCGACAAACTGGTTTAAGCTATTGGGAATTTGGTTCACATAATAGGATTAACTGTTTTAGCAATTCAGAGAAAGTGTAAAACACTTCGGCTATTCCAAAAGAACACATGACGTTCCTTACATCATAGGCCATAGGCTACCAGCACTAGCCAACCGACAATCCTGACCGTGCTTATAACACCCTCTAGTGATGAATAGGTGAAGCGCAATTTCACTCATCTAAAACTCGTCTCAAACATCAAAAAACAGGTTTTAACCTTAAGGGTTTCATAGTTACATTTAAACGAGTTAAGATTCAGCTACCTAAAATAAAAGCAAATCGATGACAACAGTCAATCACAAAGTAGGCTATTCATATGTTCACAATAATAATAATCTTAAACTTGCACTTTGCTCACCAACAACAACAAAAACTGTATAAGGTAAGTGTGTCTCTCTTTTTTTGTGACAGTCTTGAATTAATAAAAAAAAACACTTAACAAAAAAACTGGCCATACCCTTACCGGACTGGACCCCCTTTTGCCTTTAGAACTGCCTTAATTATTCATGGCATAATATTTTGGTCCATATTGGCATGATAGTATCAAACAGTTGCTGCAGATGTTGGCTGCACATCCATGATTCGAATCTTCCGTTTCGCCACATCCCAAAGATGCTTTGAGATCTGGAGACTGTGGAGGCCATTTGGGTAACCAGTTTTAAGAAACCAGTTTGAGATGATTTGAGCTTAATGATGGTGTGGAATCCTGCTGGAACTAGCCATCAGAAGATGTGTACACTGTGGTCATAAAGGGATGGACATGGACAGCAATAATATTCAGTTCAATACTGGCTGTGGCGTTTAAATTATGCTCAGTGCTCAGAGGGCCAAAGTGTGCCAAGAAAATATCCTCACACCATTTAAACCACCAGCAGCCTGAACCATTGATGCAAGTCAGGATGGATCCATGTTTTCATGTTGTTCAGGCCAAATTCTGACCCTGCATTCTGAATGTCGCAGCAGAAATTGACACTTAGACAACCTAATATTTTTCCAATCTTCTATTGTCCAATTTTGGTCAGCCTGTTCAAGGTTTGATGTGTTGGGTGTTCAGAGATGCTCTTCTGCAGACCTCGGTTGTAACAAGGTTGTTTTCTATCAGCTGGAAGTGGAACCAGTCTACCCATTCTCTTCTGAAACAAGGCAGTTTTGGGATTTCTTTTTTGGGCCATTTTCTGTAAACCTAGGTTATTTGTGAAAATCCCAGTAGATCAGCAGTTTCTGACCCAGAGGGATGCATATGGAGAATACTGGGGTGTCCAGCCGCAGGTGGAATATTTCAACCCCAGGGGTGGCAAGGTGGCTTGCCAAGGGAAAGACACATGCTCAGAGAGACTTACAGTGGAAATACACATGTGGGGGTCACCCAGAGGGGGGACCATGCACACGGAGGCACCTAGCCAACGCACAGGCAATAGACACTGGCTTCGACGTCAGCAGTTCTGGAGAAACTCAGAGCTTGAGGAGGAAGCTCACCTGAGGAAAATATTGCACGTATCCAGTCCGTGGAGTGGAATGGCGAGCAAGCGAAGACACCTGAGCGGGTGCAGTACTAGCTGGTTGAAGATTGTAGAATCTGGCGAATGTGTTGGGTGTCGCCCAGCCTGCAGCTCTGCAGATGTCTGTTAGCGAGGCGTCATGCGGTAGAGCCCAAGAGGACGTCACACTCCGGTTGGAGTGGGCAGTCACACCAATGGGGCACAGACCTTGCTACTAGTATGCCAAAGCAATGACATCCACTATTCAGTGAGACAGCCTTTGCTTGGATAGAGGCTTTCCCTTCAGCTTCCCACCATAACAAAGAGCTGGCCTGAGGTTCTGAAACACTGCGTTCTGTCTACATAGGCGCGGAGGGCGCATACAGTGCCAAGGCTAGGTCTGCCTCCTCTAGGGGCAGCACTTGCAGATTCACCACCTGGTCCTGAAAGGGAGTGGTGGGAACCTTGGTCACCTCCAGGCCGGGGTCTCAAGATCACGTGAGAGTAAGCCGGCCCAAATTCCAGGCACGCTTGCAGGTCCCCTACCCTCTTGATGGAGGCCAGTGCAACCAGCAAAGCTGTCTTCATAGACAGGAATTTATTCTCCACTGATTGCAGAGGCTCAAATGGCAGTTAAAACCACTGAGAGGTCCCAAGAGGGAACGAGAGGAGGACGAGAGGATTTAGTGGCCTCACTCCTCCAAGGAAAAGAAGGAAATGAAGGAAAGGAAAGGAAAGGAAACGGATGATAATGGATGATCGTTCCTTCCCAGTGACTGGTCATGCAAAGGTTCTGTGAACACTGCTATGGCTGCAACATATACTTTGAGCATGGAGGGGGACCTGCCCTTGTCCAGAAGCTCTTGTAAGAAGGAGAGAATCTCCGTAACGCCACAGTGTTATGAGAGCGACAGAGGGTGGCCCTTATTGATGTTTACTGTACGTCACAATCAGTCCATCAATAGGTTGCAGCATTTGCCGCAGAGCAACCAATAGGCATGCAAGTCGCCTCGCCTAGGTCTGCTCTGTGCAGCAATGAGTTTTAAATTAATGAAGAATTAAAGGATAATTTTTTGGCTTCAGTATTCTTAAGAGAAGGGATTTTCCCGTAGCGTAAGTACTCTCGTAAGAGAACTTCTTTTGGAAACTATAGTTTTTTTTCACTCAACCTCTGCAGTACAATTATGGACTCTCTAGGTCAATAATTATCCAAAAATTTTAACTTTAGCCTTTGGATAGCTAAAACACAGTCATTTGCTAATTTCTGTTGTCCTATCAGCGGGGGTGCACTATGCTCTTTATGATGTTTTATTAACAAGGTTCGGGAGGAGCAAGTGCAGATAATTAACCCAATCAGCACAAGAGGACAACTCAGTAAACAACTCAGGACAAGATAAATAACAGCAGAACCCACTTTTGTTCTTTGACAGTTTATCAGCATCCCACCTCCACCCCATCTCCTCACTTTTAGTTCCATCTCCAGTTCCATCTACTCTCACCAACGGGGGATTTGGTTCGGGCAGAAATTCCGAGCTTGGAGCCCTCCGCCCGGACAGCACGCCAAATACGCAAAACCTTTACCATAATAATTATTTGTAGATGTGAACTTGTGAATTGGTTTTAGTTTTTGTTTGTTTGATTATATTAATGTTAATGGTCATGGGTCCATATGCCTTTCAAATAACAATTTGCATATCCTGTATTTATATTTTGCAGCCCCGCCTGTCAGTGGTACAATGAAATAGCAATTGGTAGTAAAACGAAAGTCCCTTACATTCCACCCCCCACCCCTCTGTAATGCAAACTAGATATTGATGGAAAAACTCAGACAACATTCTCCAACCAGTCAAAACTTCACCTGCTTGCATCAAGTCACACCGGTTATAAACACTGCAATAGCTCACTTCCTGATGAAAGCAAGAGACGGAAGCAGTGGAACCACTAAAAACTATGTCGTGGTTAGACATAAACAGGCCATAACCCTAAGAAAATAAGCAACAACATCATTTGAGTTCATTTCATCATCATCATTTGAGTTCAACACTCAAATTAACAGCAATCAGAGAACACCGATGTGAAACAAGTGGAAAATAATTATACGCATCACATGACATGGTAACAGGCAATAGATTTGCTACTGCAAAGTAATAAATGAATAAAATCATTAAATGGTGTAGATTAGCATACTTTTCAAATGAGGATACAAAAATGATATAAGGAGCCTTTCAGATATTAAAGCTGCAGTCTGCAGTTATTCTTTTTGGAAGTATGACCAACATAATAATTTTCACTGGAAAATGTCATCTGAACTAGTAACACTTTTGTCTTGGTTCTATTGCAGTAAATCACGCTGATTAAATATAACAATCGCTCATAATCGTTTATTGTTCCATTCTGCCTACTACAGTATATTTCTGTATATCTGCACATACTGTATCCTATTCATCTAGATAAATCTATAATTGTCATCTAATCAAAGCTGATGAATAAATAACACCGTGATATTACTGTATTATAACTCGGGCCCGGGGACAGTTGCAACATCTGACTTACATTCAAATGCAAATTGTGAAAAATGTAGATTCTGTAATTATCTTTAAATGGTTTAGGCTAGAGTCTAGACTATTAACTGACAGATGTAAGATTATTGTAAACAATTGGTTTGTCTAATCCAAACCGTCTCTTCTCTCTTGAGTAGTAACAGAGCCAAATTCCAAAAGTGTTGCAACTGTTCCCGGTCTCCCCTACATGACATAACGATGCAAAGATGCTCGAATCTCCAGCAGAAATCCATCAGTAGCTACCGCTGGAATTAAAAACATTATTACAAGCTTACCACTTTGAATCGAGCTAAGATAGTTTTGAACACTGGCTGGTTATGTATTTTCTAAAATATGTATTTGGATAATTTGTAACCCCAAAAAAGCTACGGACAGCAGCTTTAATGTAGCTACATCAGATCGTTTGAATACAGTTCAAATATCCATTAACTGCAGCCAGTAATAATGCAACACAATTAAGACATAAAAACATTGACTTGAATGTAAAATTTAACACAGCTTAAAATATAAGTATAATAAATGAATATAATACATTAGCATAGCAAATTGTCATAGCGATTTATAAATTCTAATAATAGGCCTATAGTTTTCCAAATGCATAATGTCATTATATTTGTCTCCTCTATCTTTTTATTTTTAATAAAGTGTGTTTAACCTTTTTAATTCAACATTTAAAAACATGAATGATATAGAAACTGCGTGCCTCTTAGAGTCAAACCAAACCTGCTGGTTGGTTAACCGAGGATGCTGCTACTTGTGCTCACAAGCGCGGTAAAGACAGTTGTCAGACGAGCAGCCGTTTGGGCGGATGACACCTATTGGTCCAGCAGCATAACGCCATGGGGGGCGCATTTTCATTGGGTGAAAGCTGCTTAATCCGAGAGCTGAACGTTTATAACATCTTCAACCTAAGCGTTTATTTGTGGATTCACGGATGTAGAAACAATGCTCGCGAACGTGAAATGCACTGACAGATCTGTCTGAAATGGAGAAGTCGTCTAAATCCTCAGTAGCGTTTTTACGTGAGTAGCTTTCATGACATTTCCATGTTGAGACAGGGATGAATGATCAACACCATGTGAGAGTAATGATGATAACTGGGTGAATGGATACATTAAAGCAGCACTGGCCAGACAGTGTCCCAAACAGCGAGCCATATGGTTGATAAAACGCTCACTTATGTGTGCTGGACTGAACGCTCAGACATTAGTGCAGTGCAGACGACTCGTAAATGAGTCTGCTGGACTGTGTATTTCCTCCACATGTTTCAAGTATGCCAGTGCGGAGGCACAAACACAAACCGCAGGTCACTTCTTCATGAGACATATGGGCATCCTAAAATATAGCTATTGTTTATTATCGTTTAACAACATATATTTTTTTGCAATCGACCGGTGATTTCTGAAGTGTTATGTCGAAACCTACAGTGAATGGCAAATTGTCTACATTAATAGCGTGATGTTTGATCAACAAGCTTTAGGGCGCGCCTAACGTTATAGGCTATACAATGCATTTCTAACCGATTCCTCTGAACAGCGCAAACATGCTCAGATATTTGAGGACAAAATCCGGAGTGGAACAAAACGTTATTTTATGTCGAATCTTGGCTCGTTTAGAATGGACTACGTTGGTGACGTATATTCCGTTTAATCGTTTTTAAACGAACTGTTCGAAAGAATCGATTCGCCGAGATGAGCCGGAATTCCCATCACTAAAATATGCAATGCTGTCTTGTGTTATCGAACAACGATGCAACGTCGTGAACACCTCCGTGTTATGGCTATGTGTCTGTGATATTAAAACGTCACACTCTAGCGCAGTAGTGTGTTACACGAATGACTTGTAATTGGGATTAAGATAAATATTTAAATCTACTAATTTTCCAGTCCTGGAAACGAATGGGAAATGAGAAAACTACCGGTAATTTAAAGTACCAATTGGTACCAAGTCGGTAGTGAAAATTATTATTATTATTATTAACCAATCTTTCTGCAGTAGTTATCATTTTTTTTAAAGGCTACATGATAAGCTAATATTTTAATGTAGCCTATTATATACTTGTATATCTATTATTAGCATTAATAATTCATTGGGTTTATTTAATATTTTATTTTCATATTACACATTTGCCTATTTAAATGACTCATATTAATAAAGTGGTTTTATAGTTAATGGTTATTAATAGTAATGGTCTTATGGCCACTCACTGTGTGTATTTTAAATATTTAATGGAAAGAGGAATATATGGAATATCCTTCTTCTATTCCCAATGTTGTGATTGAAAATGTCCTGGAAAAGTTTTTGAAAATGATAACTGAAAAAAAATGAGAACTGGGAATGTTCTTGGAACTAATATTAGCTGGTACATTATCAAAATTCAAAATGACTTAAAATCGGTTTTGAGCATTGTGTTAAAAAAGTTTCAGAAATGTGACTTGTTTAATTGTACAAAGAATTTAAAATATTTGGAAATTTTTCTAGTTAGTAAAATGTTACAGCACTCTCCTTTCTACAGACAAATTTTGATGTTTATAAATAGTTCAGTTCATAATCAGTTATATGATGATTACCCTTTCACTCCTTGGAGTGAGGAGTGAAAGGACTGAGATAGTCACTCCTTGTGTTGTGGTTAAGCCTTGAACACACTCTTCTCCTCCAGAGACCATTCAACAGTAATGATTAAGTGAAATATGAATCGCCTGACATATTGCTAATGTGATGCAACTCAAAGAGAACAAAGAGGTTAAATTAATTTCAAATCCCTATAGACTCTTTGTGCCCCTCCTCCTCCCACTATACTACGTCCTCTGCTAATCTGTAAGCCAATTTAGACTGTATATTATGACCACTGGTAATTAGCTTTTAACTTTCAGCCTTTTAGTCATTATGAAAAGACACTGGCCGTTTCTCAATATGAGTTCTTGACTGTACATGTCTTCTTGTGGACTTGTAAAACGTCATCAGTCACTGCACAAGTACTGTTCCAATTCAAAGTTCACATCTTATCTAGCCAAGTCGTTCAAATCCCCGGATGTGTTCTTGATCCGCCCCGTTTACCGAGGATGCATCGAGAGGTGACTTTTGAGAGGTGATATATATATAATTTCTACTAGGAAGGAAAAAAAGTATTTCTGTATTAAACATTTTAATAAATAAAAAATGTAATTTTTCCAGAGTAGACTTTATGTTACTGTCCGGGTCAAAGGCTGGAATTTAATGTAGTATAAGCAAATGTTGCATTGTTATGACAGTTTGTTAACCCACATTGCCCAGTGCCAGAGGCGAAACCTGGAGTGCAGAGAAGCTGATTGGCTGCTACTGTAGGTCATTCATTCCACTTTGTTGCACCTACAAGATTACAGCTAAATGAGTAGACAAGCCCCTAGAGATATAGGACATTTAGTCTGCTGCACACATGATACTAAAAGCTCAACATACAACACATGTAGTAAATGAAAATCATGTATCTGTATATCCAACCAAACAAACAGGTTCAGGTCAGTTTGTATGGTTTTGTACCTAATAATTCAACATGGTTTCCTGGTTTGCATGCATGATTTTATATTTGCAATTGTGGTCAATATATGATATAAATGGTACCCTTATCTATGCAGGAAGTAGTGAGATCAGCAGTCACTGCTGTGTCAGAAACTTCCCTTGTCTGGCCCTATCACATCATCACTTCATCCCACAAGGTAATGCAGCAAAGCTCTGGTGAGACAGGGCTCAGTGAATGCTAGAAAGATTATGGAAAAAGATGCAGAAAAAAGGGGGCATATTGACTTGGTGGCTGATTTCTAGAAAACCACATTCTGGTTAAGTTGTTAGACTGGCTAACTTACAAAATTTCCACTTGTTTTTCTAGCATCTGATTCATAGGCTGTTTAACTGTCATCTCCTTACTGATATTGAGTTTTGTATTGAGCCTCAGTATGGGCTAGTTTTTATAGCTTCCAGCCAGTGATACTGTAGTTCAGGATTACAGTAACTCTGATAGGTTGACCTGCTTTGCCATCATTTCAGAGAGATGAACCTCTTGTATGTTCGCTGGAGAAAACAAGCTTGCGATTTCTGTTATCAGGTTGCACGTAATTGTGCATAAAGCACATGATCATTGGAGAATAATATATTGGTGATTGGAGAATATAATACACCATCTTTATTTACAGGTAACACTCCGGAGATCACTAGGGGTATAACACATAACCAAGTATAATATAGATGCTAGGGCTGTCAACTTTAGTCGTTTAGTCGACTAATCGGTCGATGCCGTCTTGGTCGACTGACATTCTTATTGGTCGACCAGTTGCATTTTTTTTTTTTTTTTACCAATAGAAAGAATTTTTCAAAGATTTACTCCTTGATATTTATTCATTTATAAGCAGTTATTTATTACTGTATTCTAAATATAATTAGCCTATGTTTTGTTCCCAACTTTAAAATGCTTTAATTTAGGCTATTTTTGTAACTGCACCACAGTTTACCGCACACACATAATACACTCGGGAACCGCACCTGTGGCTGGCTGCGCTGCTGCTCGCGCTCGGTAAGGGATCCTGTATTCATTCAGTTAGAACGCTGCTTGTTTTTGGCTTTAGTCGACACAATGTCCAGGAAATCTAAATCTTTTGTCTGGCTGCATTTTAAAACAAAGACGACAAACTGTGGAGGGAGGCGATCGCGTTGCTCCATTATGAGCGCGCAAGTCGCGCGCCTACATTTGAAATCGAACTTGAGCGCGCAAAAGACGTGAGCAGCCTTTTAACGGCTATATCATGCTGACTCAATAGATTGTGTTTTCTTAATGTTTTCGTTTTTATTTGTACACTTGACGCATTTGAAAATAGCCTAAATAATGCAACAAAACGAAAATAAACCTATACGAGGTCCTACAGCCTATTATTAGGATTGCTTTTAAGTTATTTGGGTTTTTTTGTGTGTTGTTTAAAAACGCCTTGATCGTCAGGACGAAAGTTAACCCATAGCTTTGAAAGTAAAGAAGAATATAAAGCCTGTATTTGAGCTTTTGTTGGGATTTTTCATTATGTGGCAGATAGCAGTTCTATTTTTTGCAGCGTGTGGTGTGGTCAGGTGCGCAATTGTTACTATAGACCTAGGACAGAGCTCTTCAGTTTTTGCAGTTAAAAAATCACTTAATTTTCAAAGAATTGTATTATTATTATAGTTTTATTTATTTGTGATGTTTTTTCGTTGTTGTTTTATAAATACTCAATGACAATTGTTTAAAAAATGTTTAATCAAAACATCACGTTTTTTTTTTTTTTTTTTAGTCGACTAATCGTTGTGCAGGACTCGACTTTGGTCGACTAAGGATTTCTTTGGTTGAATACAGCCCTAATAGATGCATTGCAAATACAAATGATGTCGGACCAAGAACAGAATGAACTGAATGTTTGCAATGGCGTAATCAAAGGAAAACAGAACAGATGGGGTACTAAATTAACAACCATTGAAACTAACTAGGAACACAACTGAAAACCGAACCAAAACACAATGAAACTAAACCGAACATCCAGCAGCTGAATCACCCATTACACAACTTATAAAAATAGACGTTTTTGTGAATGCTTTACAGATAACGCTTCCTTCCCAGAAAGCCTTAGTAAAAATGCTGTTCTTGTGGTCTTGCTTTGTTTCCTTGTTTTTTTTTTTCTCTGTAATTCATATCTCACCATATGACCATCCAGCATAGTTCAAAGAAAAGGGAAGGAACCTGCACTCCACAACAAACACATGTTCCCACCCTGAGACTTTCACTGATGTTATCATTCTCTCTGTTTGATCACACGTTTAAAATTAGAAATGAAAGAGTTCCTAGAATTCGATAACAAATAACTACGCTTTTTTAAATTAATCTCATTGTAACAAAGCATGAACTACAGACTCTTTTGAAGACGACTGAAAAATGATTCACTCACAGCCTCAGCTGCACTACCAATACTCTTAATGCCACACCAACACTTTTCAACCACGTGTGCATTATTCATAGATGCATGCAAATGAGTCAGATATGAAAATCAGGGATTGCAATGACTTGGTCATTCGTTTTGCTTATGCTAAACTTGAAGATTTCTAAACTAACTGAAAGCTTAACCAATAAACTGTGATGACACCCATCTGCTCCATTCTAATGTTTGGCTTCACTGCGTGATTTAGGCCAGTGTTTCCCAACCCTGTTCCTGGCGGCACACCAACACTGCGTGTATTCTTTGTCTCCCTTATCAAACACACCTGATTCAACCCATCAGCTAATAATCAGGTGGGTTAATGAGCTGATGGGTTGAATCGGGTGTGTTTGATTAGGGAGACAAAGAAAACACGCAGTGTTGGTGTGCCGCCTGGAACAGGGTTGGGAAACACTGTCATAGGCCACATTACAACACGAAAATAGCGTTTATCAAATGTATGCACTTGGGAGAGAATTTTCAAAAAGCTCAGTCTTCGTTGACCCAAAACGCCATCTCAATGTGGACGGAAGGCCAATACAAAGAGAAAAACATGCACTGTCATACGAAAACGTATTAGTGTGGACAAGGATATGAAGAGCTTGAACTCTGAACAAACTCTGATCTCATTGTATCAATAATTGCAATGTCTCTCTATATGTGGAGTGTTAATGGAAAAAAACCCTGAATGTATCAAGGCTGTAGCTTTCCCATTCGTCTATATTCTCGGCTGGCACAAGACTCATGGACGCTCGGTTCCACATCCTGGTTGTGTGTGTGTGTGTTTTTTTTTTTTTTTAGCCAATCACCTGAAACATAAGACAAATTATTATATTTGTGGTAGGGTAAGTTGTGTTAGCAAAGCAAGTACAGTGAATGAAGTGGAATGAGTTACGAAGAGACATCCGTGATGCTTGAGGTGCTAATCACCATGTCAGGTAGATGCAGTGGACTGGACTGTGTCAGTGCTGCTACAGTCATAGATGTGAAGGAGAGGCTGGAGTAACGCCCATTTGGGACTGTCTTGCTTGCTCCTAGTCTTGAGCTTCTTGTTCTCTTCTCTTTTATTCTCTTTTGCACAATCAAACTCTCAGATCCTTTAAGACCAATGAAGACCATCTGAGGCACAGAGGTAGGCAAAGTGACTTTTTTGTTATTATTTCAGTGTGACAATTGTAATGCAGTTCTGGGCTGTGATATATTTGTGAACAAATCTGAAGTTTTTTTAACATTCAGGTCATGAGTTTTATTTCCAGGGAATGCAGGTACTGATAAAACTTTATTGCTCTGGGATGTACTTTAGATAAAAGTGTCTGCCAAGTTTGCATTTCTCTCTCTCTTTCTGCACGGATGCAATTTTATAGACTAGAGTGATCTTTGTGCAATCATTTTACAATCTCATTGCTTGAACTCAAAGCTGCTGGTAAATATCTAAATCTGAGTAGACTGGCCAGGTTCATTTGCACTTACAGGAACTTTTTAGTCAATGCATTGTTCACATTATCTATGCAAAACTAAAATGTTAATATATTACAATATAACATTTAATTTATACCTGTTGCAAAATAATAAAATATGATGTCTAATGGAATGCTGCGTGCATGTACTATAACCAACACACAGGCAGGTCTAGATATAAATTTGACTATAATGTGGAATGAAATACATTGTAAAATTATATATACTTGTATAATAGTGTGTGTTTTCATGAAGTATTTTAAGAATCAGGATGAGAACTTAAATTGAGCTTAGGGTTAAAGACAAAGAAGATAGAAAATCTCTTAATGGTTTTACGCAGGTAAAACTTTCCTAAAATAGCACACACTACGTTTGTACACCTGCACGTTTTAATGCACTGGTGCATTCTCAGCATCGTTTCTTTTGTTAACACTCAAGCCAAGGATAAAGATAAGCATATTGAGTTGATGTTATTAGATTTTTTTTCCTTCTAATTCTTTAATTTGAACTTTTAAGTCTGGCTCTTAAAGACAACAAGGCCAAATATGAGCTTGTGGTATCCTTCCACATACTTTATCACATGTTAAAGTTTTTGTATCATATATATGCATGATTCTCAGATTTAAAAAATGCTATCTTTTGCAAGCAAATGACTGTTGTCTATCTTTTTTTCCCTCTCATTTGCACAAAGCAGAGGATTTCTTGATTCTTTAGAACCACTTAGGTTAGGTGTCCATTCCACAATCCCCTATGTAAATATGCAACTTAAAGAATGAACCGAAAATGCCCAATCATATGAATATTTGGTATGGGTCTTTAGGTTCGGCATACATGTCTACCCAATGAATGCAGCACACGTACCACTGCATGTGTAGAATGTAATTTGAACGTAATTCCCCCCGGTTGGGACAACACAGTTTATAGGTTTTCTTTAATGTTGTGAATGTATCTGAAAAATAATGAAGGACGCAGAGTTAGCTGCTGTGAGAAAATTGCAGCTAAGGGGAACAAATGGATTTATAAGAATACAGGTTAATGCAATTGAGACGGGGTTTTTTCAGCACATAACTTGCTTCTTTCAGTTGTATCCTTATCTGTAAACTACAAACAAAACAAAAACATTGATGTGTCCACAAATAACTAATTTACAAATAGACACAAAAAACTTTGATATTCAACATAATACACAATGTAAATATAAAATATTCAGATATTATAAGTTGATTGAAAAATAATAATTCAACAACTTTAAAGTTGAATTGAATCCATGAGTTGTATTTAATATCAATCAATTTGTGACAGGTTTTCTTACAGTATGAGGGGGCTTCAAGAACAGTTAATTAAATAATGTTCAAGTTTAGAATCAAATTGAAATTTTCAAAATGGATATTCTATATTTTATCAAATAGTGACGCTAGGAAACTATTTTTAATTTTTTTATTTTTAATCTTTTAATTTTTATTTTTTTATCGAATGGTAGCCGCAAGAATCGTTTTTTATTGAATCGTGATCACAAGAATACATTTTAATCGAATCGTGACCCCAAGAAATGAATTGTATTGAATCACGGCCCCCAGAATCGTTTTTATTATTATTATTATTATTATTATTATTGAATCATGATCCCAAGAATAGATTTTTAATAGACACGTGACACCAAGACATTATTTTTAATCTAATTGTGAGCCTAAGAATCGATTAACCTGTGGTAAATGTAACGTTATGTGACACAGCTATTGTTTACAAGCTGGATGTTTACAAGTTTAAGGATGTCTTATCGCGGCTGAAACACTGATTGAGGGATTACATGAGACATAATAGGCTACATTTCAGTAAGTAATACTGTATCTTTCAACATACCTTCTAATGTTCATTCAGGTTTGTTTCATGAACTGGTAGTAAAGAGGAAGAGATGATCGGTTTATATGCCGCTTGAACTGAGCCGTTCTGTCACGCCACATTATAGAGACACAAAACTGCATTTTTATTTATTTCATCATACAATTGACAGAATTTGAGACTTTGGTTCATATTAAAAGTAACATGCTTCTGTCATTTTTGATCTGCAAAGTTTTTTCACTGTGTGAGAATATAGATGTGTGGTGTCAAAATTGTGTCAATTGCGTGGGTTTCACGCTGAAGGCTTTACTTTACATCTCTAGTTTGCATAGTTCTACTCAGCTCAAGTTTGAATAAGGATTATTCAAAATCTCCTAACTGGCCTGAGGGCTACTGTAGGTCATTGCACTCTGAAGAAGGTGAAGGAAAAGCTCTGCCAAAAAACAGGAGTGCAGTGTGAGTCTGGCATGTTGGGTGTTTGTCCCCAAAACCGTACGTTCACACTGGCGCTGGCGAGAGCGGCAAAATTCGCTCTCGCCGCCCTGCCAGCGACGTCATGGAAAGATTCGCGGACAGTCTGATGCTCTGACGAAGATCGAATGCGTGGTCTTTTTTTAAACTGTATATAAAGGGGCCGTAAAGCAAACAAGCATGTTGCTTGTCGATCGATTTTAAACTAATTAAAAGCCATTTGTGGGGTGTGCCTTTTGTGTTTATGGTTAAGTGCTATTATAATTTACATTCCCACTGAGTGTGTTCTAGCATGAAAATCTACCCAATAAATAGTGTTGCACGCCTTCTTATCCAATTTAAATTATCAACCTCCTCTGTTTTTCCTGGGGACTAATGTGGTGGGAACCAAAATGTACAGGACTGCGCTCTCTGGAATTCTCTCAAACGGAGCACTTCTACATTCCGATTTGTTGCTGCCGAACCGCGTCATTCCAAGACGCGCCGCCCTCGCCGGAGCTTGCCACCGGCTCTCATTTTAATGCTCTCGCTGGCAGAAGTGTGAACACACAGAGAGTGTGTACTGGAATAAGGATGGCATGCAGAACTAATCCCATGTCATTAGAGCGTTTTGGGGTCTGCTTGGACACCACAGTTCACTTCACTGAATAAAGAGAAATGTTTTTGGAGCTTAACAAGTTGATGATTTACAGAGGATTTACTGATGTTGGCTACAAACTTATTGAGTGTCTCTTTCTCCCTCTTCTTTGCAGAATTAAGTTTTCCAAGATCTGTCTGACTTCACAACTCTAAGAAACTCTGTAAAGGAATTATTGTCCAAACACTGCCGTCGTAACACTGTAAAACTACACATAGCATAGAAACAGTGTTTCCTGTGGAAAAGTTTTGCTTTCTTATTCTTCACAAAGTCTGTCACAGCGCCCCCTTTTGGGGCCATGCCCCACCTGTTAAACAATGACACTTCCTTCAGCTCCAAGCAAGAGCTTTTGGTCCTACATGACAGTCCATTGGGACCCGGTCCAGACAATCCCAGTCCCGTGGAGTCCCGGGACTCTGTGCCGGGCAGCCCATCTGGAGATGCACTCACTGTGTTCCACAATACAGGCAAACTGGGGCTTGAGCTCACAGAGCCACCTATTGGGCTAAAGTTTGTCCCAACGGACTCCGAGAATCTGTGTGGATGGGGAGCACTGAGCCCACAGTGTATCCAGACCTTCAACACCCCACGCTGGTTTCTCTTCTTCCTCTGTGTGGCCTCCTTCCTCCAGGGCATGATCATCAACGGCTTCATCAACACCGTCATCACCTCCATCGAGAGACGTTTTGACCTGCGCAGCTACCAGGTAAGTTTGTTTGTAAAAATAAATGTCAAGTTAGTGTGGCATAAAGTATTGGTGCCATATTACTTACATTCATTATATATTATTTTATAATGCATGCAAGTTTCTATGCATGATATTTTTTAATGTATTAGTATCGATTGATTGAATATTGAATAATTATCAACTATGAAATATTACTGTTGTCTTGGCCATTCACTGTTTTAAAGGATGTTCAGTCAACATTTTAATATATTGATTTGACATGCAACACTTTTGTAGTATAGTACTTTCTGTATGAAAAACATTCCTTGGGTCAAATCTCAATTTCATACTTCTACTAATTGTGCTAATGATAATAAAGTGAACTGAAGTTCAAGTCTTGCATTTATTTGATTAAAAATATAGAGTAAAAGCAGCAATATTGTGAAACATTATTACAATTTTAAATAACTGGTAACTGGTTTCTATTTTAATCTGTTTTAAAACAGAAAGTATTCCTGTAATGCAAGCTGAATTGTCAGCATCATTACTCCAGTCTTCTTCAGGGTCACATGATCCTTCAGAAATCATTCCAATATGCTGATTTGGTGCTCAAGAAACATTTCTTATTATCATCATCATCAACCGTTGTAGTGCTTAATATTTTTGTGGAAACAGTGTTACATATTTTTCTGAATTATTTGATGAATAGAAAGTTCAAAAGAATAGTATTTACTGTCATTTTTATCAATTTAGTACATTCTTGCTTTATTAATTTTTTCCCTTGTTTTTTATTTTATTTTTATTTTTAGTATATATTACAACAAACCCCAAACTTTTGAGCGGTAATGTATTTATTCTTAAAATTTCATACTAAATCATAGAAGCATTGCAAACCAATCATCTTGCATATCGCAATGGGTTGTAGGTAACAATAGTTCAAAAAGTATGCATGGCGCAAAAGACACGTTGAAGAATAGATTGTATTCAAATTGTGATTCAGCCTTGTTATCCATTGCTAGATTAAAATTGTACATCACAGCATTATTAACACAATGTGTTATTTGTTTTGCCATTATAGGCGGGACTCATCGCGAGCTCCTACGACATTGCTGCTTGTGTGTGCCTGACATTCGTGAGCTACTTTGGTGGTACGGGTCATAAGCCTCGATGGCTGGGCTGGGGTGTGCTCATCATGGCACTGGGGTCTCTGGTCTTTGCCCTGCCCCATTTCACCACACCACCCTATGAGGTGAGAGTACCGCAGCGCATGGGATTGTGCTCGGCCAATCACACAGAGGCATGTGTAGACGAGGAAGGTGGGCTGTCAGCGTACCGCTACGTCTTTATGCTGGGCCAGTTTCTTCATGGGGTCGGGGCAACCCCTTTGTACACCCTCGGGGTCACCTACCTCGATGAAAATGTCAAGTCAAACTACGCACCTGTATACATAGGTGAGTGTGATGATGCCAAAAAAAACCATAAAACACACACACACGCACACACACATATATATATATACTGATATATATATACTGATATTAGATATCCTATTTAACCTATTTTAAAATTTAGATTACCCTTTTCTGTCATCTAAAATTAGCTTATAACAAAATATTAAAACACTGTTAAATGTAATCTTTAGCAATTCTTCAAAAGAATTGTCTCGGTTACGTATGGTAACTCTCGCTCCCTGAGGAGGGAACAGAGATGTCACGTCGGAGGAGTTTCCAACGAATTGGGATCACGCTAGGGAGACGAATTTCCTTCAAGTGAATTAAAACGAGCCAATGCATATATTGGCATGCAGGATTTGCATTCCGCGCCCTGCCTGCCAGTACTGGTATAAAGCGGAAGCGAGCAAAAACACGTATCCTTTATGCTGAGGAGCAGAACGGTGTCCAGTACTCCGTGAAGGTACAGCAAGCATGGCGACGGGACGAGACATCTCCGTTCCCTCCTCAGGGAACGAGAGTTACCATATGTAACCGAGATGTTTCCTTTCGTTCGGGAGCTCCTACGTCTCGTCGGAGGAGTTTTCAACGAATTGGGATCCTTAATAAAACACCATGGTGCTGGCCCCTTCCAGCGCCGAGTTTAGCTTCCCGCCAAAGCAGTTTCTTACACTGCTGTTCTGCAAGACCCACTCAGTGGATTTGGATAACACTGGGGATCCCTGAGTGCTGTGGTGCCCCTGCCCGCCCGAAGGGAGGCACTGGAATACACGTATGTACTAACCCGTGGGGGTAGTAAACATGTGGCAGTCCCTGAGGTAGTCCCAGCCCGAGGCGTGGGAGCGTACTCAGCAGGGATGACAGAACGGGTCTGTCGAGGGAAAGACACTGTGCTAACCCGGAGGGTAGCTGGAATGTGGAAGAAATGGGTCACCGTAGGGACCACTGTTAAAGCCACCCAGTATAATAACAACTCCTACAAGATGGAATAGACCTGGCGCCGGGTGTTCCGCCTCGCCTGGTGTCGGAGGGGTGAAGGAGGAACTCACGAGGTTACCCGTTTATTGGGGAACCAACGGAGCAAAAAGTCATGCGTATCCAGGCCATGGTAGGTGGGCAAGGCAGGTCCTGGGACTCATAAGCCCAGATGATAGAATCCATTAACCAGTGGGCTAACCTCTGCTTGGAGACAGCCTTACCCTTCTGCTGGCCTCCGTAATAGACGAAGAGCTGATCTGAGGTTGAAGCTTTACGTACTGTCCAGGTCACAATGTAGAGCGTGGACAAGACAGAGGAAACTAGGGCTGGGTCTGCCTCCTCTGGAGGCAGCGCTTGCAGGTTCAGTACCTGATCTAGAAGCGGAGTGGTAGGAACCTTAGGCACATACCCGGGGTCTCAGAACAACATGAGAAATACCCAGTCTGAACTCTTGGCACGATTCATTGACCAAAAATGCCTACAGATCCCCAATTGACGAACAGGTTCCACTTCGAGGCACCCCATAGAGGGGTCCGTGTCCTGTCCAGGGACCAGATATGGAGGTCTGGGCGCAGGTCCTTCCTCAGAGGAATGGGCCAAGGAGGTGCTGTTGCGAGGAGCATAAATTCTGGGAAGCAGAATTCCGGTTGGGTCAGTACGGCGCAACTAGCAAGACCTGCTCCTCATCCTTCCTGACCTTGCACAGAGTCTGTCTGAGAAGGCTCACTGGGGGAAACGCATATTTGCGAAGGCCCTGGGACCAGCTGTGCATCAGTGCATCCATGCAGAGGGATCCTCCAGTCAGGGAATTAAACAACTGGCAATGGGTCGTGTCCCAAGAAGCAAACAGATCTATCTGAGCGGCTCCGAAGATTGAGCACATCAGGGATGTTAATGACCCGAAGTGACCTCAGATGCTTTTGACTCCATATGAGGAAATGGCAGGCGAGTCGTGAAGCCAAGTCTCATATGCAGCAGGCCGAGCGGTGTTACTGTGGAGTGGGAAACCTGCAGGGGTCCTTCACCCAGCAGGTCATTTTTTTATCACAATTTTAAAATTGTAATAAAATTATTAATTCAGTTGATTAGACATGCTTTTTGATTATTTCAAATGAAATAAAAGCATTAAAGCGGAATCCAAAGATTCAGAAAAAAGTACAGTGGCAATCAGAATTTGGAAAGAAATAACGCAGAATTTTCTAATATTGGTGCATGCCCATTAATTGATTGGACATGATTTCATCAGAGGGTGTGATTGTAAATGCGTAGCTAAAATGTATTCAAGCACTCAGATCGATATTCTTTAAAAAAAAAAAAAGAAAAGAAAAAAAATCAATTGTCTTATAGTTTACATGGAAAAACACTCAACAATTCATATTTGCCCTCACTGAACAATTTGCCCTCACTGAACCCAGTCATTTTATATAACTCAGGCTTTGACACACCTACTCACTTTTCTTTTGTTGTTATCAGTGAGCCTCACTAGTTTCCACCTCAGACATAAATAAAACCTCCTTCCATTGTTTTTTCTCCCCACCGAACAGTTATCAAAGGCCATTGCATTGAGGACAATCGCTACCCTGCTTGCCCCTCACTCCAGACTGAGGCACTGGAACTTTCAAACTGCATCTTACTGTGTCTTTTGATTGAAAACATGAATCAGTGTGAAGTCTGTGAACTCAGACTAGCTTTTATATGACTCAAGGGGCAATGGAGCCACAGAGACCTGATGTGCTGCTTTTGTTTTCTCAGGGATCTTCTACACAGCCGCCATTGTAGGACCTGCGGCCGGATACTTGCTGGGTGGATTCTTTCTCAACATTTACACAGAGATCGACCAAACGTAAGTGGTTAAGTAGTAGTTCACCCAGAAAAGAATTACAATATACTCATCCTCATGACTTTCTAGTAGAACCCCCCAAAGGCCAAAAGGCTATTCATTTTTGTCCCACGGCTGATAACTGTTCAATATTAAAACTGTATACTATTGTGTCTAAATAAATTTAAAATGAAAAGCTAGAAACTAAAATCAATCATCAATCAATTTTTTAAATGTTAAAAATTAATTTAGGACTCACAAATGTATGCTGTATGTGTATAGTGTATGAAAATTGCATATTCATATTTTGGAAGTTTGAGGGGGGGAAACGATTTTAAGATTAAACTATATAGGCAAGCAAAAAAAAAAAGTTTAGTAAGGGTTAAATTTACATTTCTTCAACAGACTAGGATTGATTTGGATCTTATGACTTCCATGATGCACAATACAAACTGAAATCTTGCATGAAAAAACAAACAAACATATTTTTCTACAGTCTTATGGCGCTTTTCCACTGCATAGTACGGTACGGTTCGGCGCAGTACGCTTCGACTCGGAGCGGAACAGTTCGGTTCCCTTTGCGTTTCCACTGCAGGAGTACCCCTTCAAAGTGTGTGGGACTGATCGTTATTTGCGCGCGCCTCTACTGCCATGACATCATCTTAAAAGCGCCACATTTTCAAACCCACAACACAGGAACAATGGAGACTATCGAGGGGATGGTGTTCCTGTAACTGCTAGACGGAAAAATGTGTTTAAAATGAGGCTGATGGCAGCAAAACAAAAATACTGCTAAAAAAGTGTCTCGTGTCTCGTGTCGCAAATCCAATGACGCTAGTAGTGACGCTGGTAGTGACGATTCTGTCTGACCAATCAGTGATCTGCAGTGTTTCACGTCACATTTTAGTACCGGTACGGTACGCTTGGAACCTCAACAGACCAGGTACCATTTAAAGCGTCCTGAAGCGAACCGTACTGTACCGTACCATGCAGTGGAAAAGCACCACAAGTGAGCCGTACCGAACCGTACCGTACTATGCAGTGGAAAAGCGCCTTTATTAGCAGTAAAAACTTTCTAATGCTAAAATCTCTCTCTTACCCTCAGGACAGAGCTGACTCCTGAAAACCCACTGTGGGTGGGAGCTTGGTGGATTGGTTTCCTGGCAGGAGGAGCAGCGGCTCTGGTTATCGCTCTGCCTATACTGGGTTACCCTAGGCAGCTACCAGGTGCTACCCATAAGCACAGAAGTCAAGTGACTGCAGTACATTATACTATTAGTGTGAATAACTGTCTCACTTCCTTTATCTTGCAGGCTCTCAGCGATATGTGGCCATGCGTGTCTCAGAGGCCCACCAGCTGAAGGATGGCAGTCAAGTCACTGCATCTGATCCTCAGTTTGGAAAAACAGTAAAGGACATGCCCAGGTATGAACGCATGAGAGGAGAGAGGAAGTGAGCTAAAAGGGGTTTCCCTTGATGGTCACCACTTTTTAACATAAGTATACTACCCTGTTTATATTTAGAAACGTGGTTGATGGGAAGGAGCTGAGGCTGTAGTTTTCTAGTTTGCCGAGATCAGCGAATTCAGATGGGCAATGGGTCCCTAGATAATTTTCTTGAGATTGAGTATTAGCACTTTTTCAAATTAGCACTTTTCACTGTCACTTTACTCTTAAAGAGCCAACAAACTGCCACACACAAGTTATCGGGCTGTCGTTTTTTCACTTGGTGTGCTAGTTTTTATTTGGCCACAAGTTTCACTAGAGATCATTAAAACCTCCTTCAGTTGTTATCCTGTCTTCAATTCCGTTTTAAAAGGCCATTGAAAGACAATTGCACCAATGAGTCTTTCGAAAGAAATAAAAGATAAAAGCACAAATCAATGCTATATCAATAGATGCGGTTGTATGTTATCCATAAATGGTCATCCAAAGAATTGAAATAATGTGTAATTGCTACACTATTTATTAGCACCAGTGGATTTTGTTTTTAAAGCGCTCAGGTCACTCGCACTTGCGCATCCATGCTGTCACAAAAATTGGGCTGCATGCGATAAGTCTGCGGTCCGTCTTGATGACAAAAATTACGTCTCGCAGACGTTTTTTTTTTTTTTAGAAAATACTGCTGTAAAAGTTTCAAACGACATACTATTGACTGTTGATTTTGGCAAGTCTATTGTGCACAGCAGTGCAGCATTTGACATATTTGGCTACACTGTTCTTATCCCATGTTGGAGCACCTTCATTTAAATTATGTAGATTTTTTATACTGGTGAAGTCTCAGCTCCTCTCACTTTTGGTGTCCCTCAAGGCTCCGTTCTTGGTCCGATTTTATTCTCCTTGTGTGTGCTTCCTTTAGGGTCTATATTTAAAACATTGCAAAGAGAGATACAGTTTCTTAATGACACTCAAGTCTATCTGTCCCTGGGATCCAACAAAAGGGCTTTGAATATTCTTTTGGCTCGTCTTGCCGATGTCCACTTGTTTCATGTTTCTATCCCATTCCTCCTTGCTCTACCTATAAAATCCACTGTGACAACAGAATGAGTAGAATAGTATTTTTTTCTCTCTCCCTCTTTTTTTCTATAGGTCAATGCTGTTTCTTTTGAAAAACCCTACCTTCATCTTTTTGTGTCTTGCTGGTGCCACAGAGGCCACTCTCATAGCTGGGATGTCCACGTTTGGCCCCAAATTTCTGGAGTCTCAGTTTAGTCTGAGTGCTTCAGAGGCAGCAACCTGGTTTGGTAAAAATCACAATTAAACGCAATGCCATACCCTCTTGCTCAAATTGCTCTTAGAACATAACCAATAACTACATACATTGAGATGTATTTAACTCCGTCTTCTCATTCCAGGGTATATGGTGGTACCAGCTGGTGGAGGTGGCACATTCCTGGGGGGCTTCATTGTAAAGAAGCTGAACCTTCGTTGCCGTGGGATCATCCGTTTCTGCATGCTGTGCGCACTGGTCAGCCTAACGGCTATCTTCATATTTTTGGTACACTGTCCTAATGTGCCCATGGCAGGAGTAACTACCCCATACTACAGCAACGTCCCACACAACAACTACAGCGCCCCCTACCTGCAGACAGAAATCCACAAAAGCAGGTACTGAACACTTTGAACTCATTCCAAATCTGCAAACAATATAAACTGCAATAAAAAAAACGTAATATTTGTATCTATTACAGCAAGAGATCAAAATCATACTTAAATAAATGCATCAACAAAATTAACTACTTCATGCTAATTTAGCACATTTATTATTGAATGAAAAAATGCACCCTGTCCCGTTTCCCATTAGTCTTGCTTTCCTGACTGCAGTCTACTGTCCTATAAAGTGAAAAGGGGAAAATAAAATTAATGAATTGATGTAAAATATACGTCTTATGATTTATTCCGTTTTTATCAATAAAGATAAAGTGGCTTGACAGATATGTTATTATTGATTTGTTGAGTCAAGTCTGTAAATGTCAGATTAATAATACAATACAAAGAAAGAAAAAGAAAAGATGATTTTAGAAAAGAAAAACAAAAAAGAGTTACGTCTCCATGATATTAAAATAATGACAATCTGTTTGTCATTTATTATTAATTAATTCAACTTATAGGTAGGGCTGCATGGTAAATCATATTTTATTCATGATTTCTGCTTCTCTAGATTGATTAAGAACAATTGTCTCCCGCTGGTTATATATATTTCATTTGACAATTGTGTTATCTTGCATTTGCATTAGCTTAAAGGTGCAGTATGAGATTTCTCGAAATCAACCCAAACAAACATCCTTTCATTGCTCCACCCCTCAAATTGCTCCGCCCTCCAAATGCATTAACACGCAATGCAAGAGTTTCTCTGTTATCATAGCAGAAGCAAAGCAAAATAATGCTTTGCGAAAAATAAACCGAAGATGTCAAACGAACGATAAGGAAGCACAAAAAATTAACATACAGTACACAAGAGTACAAGCAAGAGTCACACTCAAAACCAATGTTACTCACATACTGAGCTGAAACAACGCAACCTCGTTGTCAGATTTCAGGCCTACCCAATTCGGTTTCTTCAGTGCTGGAAAGATTTTCTAATATTAACGTGAGTCCTAAAGCTCTTGCCTGACCATATCCTCTTCTATTTCCAGTGATATTCCTCTTATCTTTTCTCTTTTGTAATGTCTCTCAGCCATCTCTCTCTTCTTCAGATCTCCCTCTTGCTTAGTTCTCTCTCTTCTCCCTATCATTAGTGAACACGCCCCCTACTGCCGATTGGCTACAAGTTTGTTGTGCATGGGCAAATGCACTTTCAAGAGCATTTTTCAAAAACTGCTTACGGCACCTTTAAAGACTTAAAATATACCAAGACTTTGCACTTGTATTACTATGAATGGGAGAAAGTGCGGTAACCTGTTACCCATGTACATACTATGTACTTATTGTAGTAGTTACAATTACTGGGTAATAACTAGGAACTAAGCCTAAACCTACCCCTAACCCAAGTACTTACCTTATATTAGCAAGTACTTTCTAGGTAAGTACACTGTAAGTACTGTACTGTAAAAGGAAGCGAAAGTACCGAAAGTGCAGTATCCCTCCTTCTAAAATTGCCAAGATTTTGCTGTGACTAAATCTGTGATCAAACCCCAGTGATTAACTGTAATAAATCATTGAATAATCAAACTGTTTTTATTAGGAATTTCACTTGATTAGCTTTTAAGAGAAGCTTCTTGTTGTACCAGTTTTTTTAAAATGTACAGTTAAAAGTGTGTTAATTTATTGGCCAACAGGGCACTATGCCGTTCGATTTTCTTGATTTGTGCTAATGTAAAAGTGCAATAATCTTCTGAATTTCTAAAATGACAATATTCATGATTATAATTTTTAACACAATAATCATGATTGTCAGTTTTACCATTATCATGCAGCCCTGCCTGTAGATATTAACCTTTTCAATCAACTCTAATATGGCACCATGGGAGTGATTTATTACACACATAATGGTGTAAATTAATATCCAGAGCAGGAAAGAGGGGATTGACTGACAGTGTTTTATTGATTGGTTGAGGTGAAACATTAAACATTTTCTCTCTCCCTTCAGCTTCTCAGATCTGGGCAATCTGACCGTAAGCTGTAACATTGGATGTCACTGTGTTAAGGAGTTGTTTAACCCAGTGTGTGGTGCGAATGGAGTGATGTATTTCTCTCCCTGCCACGCCGGCTGCAGCTCCCTCAACCACACGAACAGCCCCAGAGGTAGACAGGTACTCAAACCTCACGTTCTACACGATCGCTCAATTAACTCGACATAACTGCATATGTTTAGTAAGGTAATTTAATTAAAGGGGTCTTATCCTTGTACTATGAAGGAATACTGCAAGTTTCAAAACAACACTAAACTGAAATGTTAAAACTAAGATGCAAAAATGTTTTTTGCTCTTAGATAAAATTAGTCACGATAACTAGATTTGGCACAACATTTGTTACATATAAGAGGATCTCAGAATAAAATATGAGTCTTATTCTTGATTATGAATTTTTCCCTGTTGGTGTGTGTGTGTCTACACATTTGTAGGTGTTCTCTGGGTGCAGCTGTGTGGTAGGGAATATATCATGGGGAGAACAAGGTTTTGCTGAAGAAGGGAGGTGTGTGTCATCCTGCAATCACATGCCAGCCTTTCTCACGTTCCTCTTCGTCGTCATCCTCTTCACTTTCCTCTGCAGCATTCCTGCACTTACTGCCACACTCAGGTATGACACTGCATACACAGTACTACCATTCAAAAGTTTGGGGTCAGTAAGATTTTTTGGATGTTATACTTTTATTAAGCAAGAATGCCTTAAATGTTACAGAATATTTCGATTTCAAATAAATGGTGTTATTTTGAACTTTCTGTTCATGAAAGAATCCTGAAAAAAAAATATCACTGCTTCCACAAAAATATGAAGCTGCACAACTGTTTTCAATGCTGAATCTGATGATAATAAATGTTTCTTGAGCATCAAATCATCATATTAGAATGAAGACTGGAGTAATGATGCTGAAAATTCAGAAAACAGTTATATTAAAATGTAAAAATAGTTCACGATAGTACTGTTTTTACTTTATTTTTATCAAATAAAGAATATCTATTGGCTTTTCAACAGTAGTTTAGATAAAAAAAAATGCACAATAAACATTATTAGGTCATGTGACCATAATGCATCATACTACTGTTTCAAATGTATTGTGCAATAATGCCTACTCTTTCTAATTTTTCATTCCAAATAGACAGTCGGATCTCTAATCTGGCATACATTATAATCCAGATGTTGTAATGTAACTGTCTTCTCCTGCAGGTGTGTTCCTGACAGTCAGAGATCGTTTGGGCTTGGGATCCAGTGGATCGTAGTAAGGACTCTCGGTGGGATCCCAGGCCCCATAGCGTTCGGCTCCGTGATTGACATCTCCTGTCTGCTGTGGGAAGAGCAGTGTGGGGAATACGGCTCCTGTTATCTGTACCACAACTCAGCCATGAGCCAGTACTCGCTCATTGCAGGCATCATCTACAAGGTAGAGGAAAAACACTTAAAAATGTGTGGAAATGATTAAAATAAGGTTCCCTGAGAAAGCAGTGCTGATTCATTTCATATTCAATACACTTTAGCTTGTATGAAACTCTTTTCACTGTACCACAGGAGGCCATTTATTTTTCAGCACTAAATAGCCTTCAGTGGTACATTTACAGTAAGAGACAAAGAGATTTTTGGTCCCCACTTGAGAAAAACTCTTAGTCTCGTCAATGCTCTACCGGAGGCCATTTAATCTGAAAATTATATTCAAATATTTTTGAATCTTTACAAATTATATTATCAGCTTAACGATTTGATTGAAAGGTTGAATTGAAAATGTAACATAAATGCCATAATGTCTTAATATATGTCGCCATTTTTATGACATAGAAGTGGTCTAGAAAAAAATGTGTTTAAAAAACAACTATATATGCAGTAAACTACCGTTCAAAAGTTTGGGGTCTGTATGATTTTGAAATGTTTTTGAAAGAAGTGTCTTATTTTCACCAGTGCATTTATACATATATATATGTATATAAAAAAGCTATTTATTCCTACCCTGATTTTTCATCATTACTCCTGTCTTTAGTGTCCCATGATCCTTCAGAAATCATTCTAAAATGTTGATTTGCTGCTCAATAAACATTTTTGATTATTATCAATGTTGTAAATAGATGTATAGAAAGTTAAAAAAAAAGAACCGCATTTATTTGAAATATTAATTTTTTTTTGTTATTTTAAATGTTACTGTCTCATCGGATTTTAAAACCCAGATTTTTAATGCGGCCTCACCATTGAAGCAATAATCAATAGCTGTTGACCTTTAGATCAGGTTCACATCAATCGCATAAACCTTTTCAAATGAACCTAACGGCAATCTAATCTTAACTCTATCTCTCTTTTTCTCAGGTTTTAGGGACTTTTTTCTTCTTTCTGGCCAGCATGCTCTACCAGCCGCCCCCCGAGTCTCCTCAGAGCAGCTGTGAGAGCACAGATGTGGGAGGCCATGACAGTGGGGGGAAGAACAGAGACCTGCCAATCAAAGACATCCCCCCTGAGATCATCTCAAACCCGCATGCCAAATTATGACCTCAGTCGAGTCTACAAAATACACCTCACCTCAAATTGTGCGTGTATGCTTCTGTGTGTGTGTATAAGGTCAGCACCATCTCTGTTCACTGTGCCCCATCCCAACATGCATCTATGATTTATTCTCATATACTCTCATAGCCCACCAGTTTAAAACTCCTGAAAACTGAAAGCATCTATGTCACAATGAACGACCAAAGGGTCAGAGGTGAAATCAGAGCATACAGTATGAGTTACATAAACAGAACCTACTAAAAGCAAACATAATCTTGATTTGAGAATAGATTATGCATATAAACTAGAATTATTTGTATAATTTAAGTAGAAAAAATAGAGCCTTTTTGCAAGGAAAAAGCCATGGACAATATATGAAAAGAGCACTTAATATAAATGTAACGGTAAGAGAGAATTACAGCAAATGTGGAGAAATGACGACAAAGTCGACTAAAGAATGCTGCTCAGTTATACATAAAGAAAAACTGACCATTAGTTACAAACTGTGCCTTTAAAGTTTTGTTTTGCATAATTCAGCACAGTTAGAAAGATATTGCAGAATCCCTTAAATCTCTCTAAATTGCACTTTAAACTAACTTCACTGACAGAAATATACATCCGAAGCATTTACAGTAGTGTTATTAAACCAAGTGTTGTCCCGCAACACCATTCTACGCAGTTCTAGTCCAAAGTAACGCATGTGAAACTTGTGATTCTTGTATTCATATATTCCGAATATTTGTACCATTTTAAAATGTGCCAAAATACTGTAGCGCAGGACAGGGAGACTTCGAAGTGTGAGGTCTCAGAGATGCAAGTGAGAATTGATGGGGGAGCAGGTTTACAAAATTGACTTTTTGCAAATGAATGCCATGTTGCGAAATACCACCCGAGATGTGAAATTCCTTTGAGATTACACTAAAAATTATTCTTGCACTGATTTTCTGGATGACATATTGTCAAACATTAAAAGACAATTTCTTGGTTGTTCATAAGGTAACAGAACAAGCAGGATTTTTTTTTTTTCTCTCTCTCTTTGTAAGTAGGGTTTTTTTTTTCTTTCTGGTTGAACATTGAAGTACCACAAGCTGCTTAAATCCAAAAAAAAAAAAAGAAGCATAACTAATATCTTATTTGCCTATATCAAGTGCTATTAAAGACATCTCGCCAATGATACTATATGTTGAGGTTTTTATTTGTTATTAAATGAATTTGTAAGGATTCATGTTGTATCAGAACTCTATTATTATTATTATTATTTTGCTTTCTCTGATGTTTGTGGATTTTGGTGGATTATTACATTGACTCTGATGGCAAATCCTGAATGACAATGATGCACTCAAAAATGTAAGATTTGCACAATGAAACTAAACATGCAACAACAAAGTGTAACATGATATTTGTATTGAATTTGTGTTGGTTCATGTGTACTTTTTTATCTCAATGACCGAAACAAATGTGTCTTGTCACTAAAGGAGTTTGTGTGTGGGCCTGTTTTTGTCTTCATTGATATTTATTTGATTTCCTTTTTTTACCACTGTGTTTCTAATCACTTGCAATGTAAGTAGTTTTGGTACTTTCTTTGTCAAGTAATTTTTAAGCTGAAGTTTCGATAAAAGTTTTGAATAACAACCAAAAAAAGCAAACTGTAATATTTTATTCCTGTCTATACCTGTATATGCATTGCACACATACTGTATGCTATGCAAAGTCTCATGCACTAATGACACAAATATTCTTATTTGATTGGTGAACTAGAAATCTGAAAGTGCACAAATTATAACATTTCTGTGTTTTAAAAAACTTAATACAAATGCTTAAAAATCCCTTTAAACATCGTTTTAACCTTTACTCTCCATATACAATATGGAAATGATGTGTATGAAGGCTAGCTAGTAAGAGCTGTGCATGTATGATAATAAAAATGATTCACATAGTCCAAACACAAAGGATACATTTGTAAAATGAAAAGTAGATTGAACATAATGAAAATAGAAAATGCTCAAGAATTGCGTTGCTTTTGCTCATTTAATTGAACAAACAGCGACGGTCACTTTAGAGCTTGCTCACATGCGTGTGGTCATTGTATTATTTGTTGGTGCCACTAGATGTCACTGGCTGTACATTGTAAATGCAACTGAAACAAGAAGCCATTCTTAGTAAAAAAATAAATAAATAAATGTTAGTAGGCTAATGATAATAATACAAGATAGGGTTAGTTCAGCAGCATGCAACATCACACTGTTAAAGACACTTAAACATTATGCTCTGAAGATATGTTCAAACGTGAGGATTTCTGCTGGGAAATGTCTTTGTGAAATGTCACAGGATGTGTCCGGAATTATCTTAATAGATTATCGAATCTACAATTTATATCTTGATTTGAGTTGTAGAACGTAAATCAAAATGCCAAAGGAAAAGATCATAATTTACAGTGGAATATGGACAAACTGATTTTTATTTTTATTTTTTTATGTGGCAGAAATGGCCTTCTGTACTTTTAATTAAATCTTTTTGTAATGATACATAAAAAGAAATACATACATATTTTTGCAGGTGTTGTCAAAGGGAATAGAGAGGTTTTAACCCTGGGGTAGGGTTAGGGTTACACCACTAGGAGGCGCGTCTCATGTTGACGCTAAATGGTGCCATGTGCGTCATGGTCAAAATCGTCCGTTAGATGCCTTGGGGTGTGATCAAACACAGGTTTGTGTGGATTATCAGGTTTTCAAAACTGAGAAATTTGTATTTTACAAGAATATGACAATTGTCTGGCTTTTTCAGTGCCACATGATCCTTCAGAAATCACTCTGATATGCTGATCTGCTGCTCAGGAAACATGTATTGTTATCAGTGTTGAAAACAGTTGTGTTGCTTTTTGTGGAAACATTTTTTTTTTTTTTTCAGGATTATAAAGGTAAAAAAAAAAACAGCGCATAACAACGTAAAAGTCTACTGCCACTTTTGATCTACTTAATGCATCCTAACTGAATAAAAGTGTAATATCTTACTGACTAAATATTTGAACAGTAGTGTTTAGTGCGAATATAACACAGGGAGATTCAAGAGCTAAAAGGAGATCCAGAAGATATAAGAAATGAGAATATAAATGAACAGTGTGCGAGAAGCTGAAATATTCCTCACAGCCAGCTGTCATGATAGAGCTGAAACATTAGCCTGCAGTCACAAAGTCACAAGGCTACACAAACACACACTCACGCACAATCAGATAAGATCCCTCTGTGTGTGTAAGGGGATTGAACCAATATGGTTGGACTGACATCTAACTGTCCTAACCCCAATTGGCCACCTCACAAAAGTCTTTTTTTTTTTCTTAGATAATTCACTCAGCCACCTGTTTTACCGACTGTGTAAACTGTCCCTGTTGCTGGAGGAGAGTGGAGAGCAGGGGTGTTTGAACAGATATCAGCCCCTCTCCCTCAACACGATTGGGCTTTTTAGTCAGCACTTATGGAATATATAGTAAACAGCAAACGGAGAAGCAGCAGACTATTTCATTTAAACAAGCAGGAGAGTTTTCCAATTTTCCTGCAGAAATCTTTAAACCTAACTGTAGAAAAGACATCACAGGTGAAATCAAATCTTCCTTGAAATGGGAATGTAAAACATTTCTGTCACATTTCTAGTAGGATGGATGGATGGATAGATAAAGTAGTTAAATGCAATGAAATTCAATTAAGCTGAAGATACGCATACAAACACCCATTTCATATGGCCTCTGTTAAAGCAGCTTTTGTTATTAGATATCTCTAGTGACTGTGAAGCTGACGGTGAAGGTCAGGTCTTTTATGTCAATCTCACACAGAACAACCTCTCCATATGTCACTGAGTGATCAAGATTAGAGAGCGTCCCCTCTGACTCTCTCTCTCTCTCACACACACACACACACACACACACACTTTTCACACCTATCAACATAAACAAATCAAGTGAACAAACAGGTATTGCATTGCATTAAGATTGCATTGCATTAACGTTGCATTGCATTAACATTGTCGTTTTACTATTTAACATTATGCATCTGCTTTATGCAGACTAATAATCACAGAGACTAAAACTTTTGCTGTACTGATTCTTTCCCTTTAAACATTCATGTTATGAGAATGTGCATGCTTTAAAAAAAAATCCAAAAAGGGGGATTTGTAATAACACGACGAGTAAATGATGAGTGAACTGTCCTTTTTGAACCATTAATGCACAAAATATGAAAACAACGGATACAAATATCACAATAAAACATGAAATGGAAATCGTTACTAAAATAAAAAAGTATATTGAAACATAATAGGTTTCCTGGGGGCAACACTTGAATGAAACAAACCAAAGAATTGTATTGAAATTGAGTAATAGATAAAAAGTTTAAAATAGCAAAGAACTAAATATTAGTGTAACAGACTTTACATGACAGACTTTAATGGATGTGCCTGGTTTTATGTTTTTAACTTTGACTTTATAATAAAATCAAATAAATTATGGAAAGAATTCGAATGCAGAAACTATTTATGGATTACATAAAATTATCTAAATTAAAATTGATTCAGTGTGACCATGATGAAGCTCTTCATTTGTTTATTAAAAAAAATAAGCCATTGTTGTTGTAACGTACGGACTGAGACAGTCGGATCCATTTGCAGCACTTTATTAAAACTTGAAACAAGCAGACAAACTCAGACACACAATTAAACAACGGGGCAATCCAGAAACTCGTGGTCTAAACAGGCAATGGTCGAGGCAGGCAGCACAGGTTCGAGAGCAGTCCAGGAAACAAGCAAGGGTCAAGAGTCCAGGGAAACACGGAGACACAGAACAGGGAATAACGCTCGGAATTGCACGCTTACAGGGTAACAAGACTTCGCCCGGGACACAGGGAAAACTCAGGCTTAAATAAGGAACTCAATAACCAATAATGAAACACAGCTGAACATAATAAAACACAAAGAGTCCATGGGGAAACATAACATGGGGAGAGAGTGCCCTCTAGTGGCTCTCGAGGGCACCACGGCTGCTGATCGTCACAGTTGTGTTTCTAGAAGAAACTGGATGTCTATAACTGTGTTGAAACAAAATGGGAGGGAAAAACATGTCTAGATCTGTGTAAGCCATACAGACAAGATGTGATCTTTAGAGATCTACAGTAGAGCAGGAGAGACAAAGAAAAGTTGATAGGCCTCATCTAATCTGTGTGACTAAAATCACTTCTTGGAAGAGAGTGTGAACTCCTCTCCTCTCCACCGAGACTGACAATCACAACAAACTTGCACCAAAGGATGAGAACGGACTCGACAATCACTACCACAGGAGGTAAAACAACATAACAAAAGGGGGAAAATGGGATCGAAAGATGACGGCAATTACTCACAAAGCATGTCAAAAATGTTTGAAGGCTAAAAACAGTAGCAATTTTTTTTTTTTGCAAAAATTAACCTCCTGAGACCCAGAAAAAAGTTAGCATAAGAAACAAATAATATCAAAACAAAAAACATTTTTGAAAATTTTTATTTTATTCATAATATTATGCCATGTCCTCTGTAGCATGACGTCTTGTCCCTTTCCCTATGACACTATCAAAGTGTCCAGTACGCTTACGAACTTGCATTAAGATGCAAGACTCCAGACAATGCCTTTGAATATGCTTTAATCACGGCTGGTGGATCCCACCAGCAAAAAGAATACAACAATAGAATAGGAGCATAGCAAAAGTGGCATGATACATTACATAATGTCCCAACAATTGGATTGGTTCTTCATATGCAAACCCTTCTGTTACTATGTAGAAGCAAATCATTTAAAAAAATGGAAAATGTTAGTTCAGTTGATTACTCAATAATGTCATGAGTATGTTCTAGACTGTTATATTTTTGGTATTGTCTAGCCAGCATTTTCCGCTGGTTTCGACACAAAGTACATTTCGTTCAAATGTCAGAATGTTTGGCCTAAAGAAAAAGTAGGGTTAGATGTTAGAATTATGATTAATTTATATTACAGTCTACTATTTTATTTATTAAAAAATCAGTCACAATGCTTTCAAAGTCATAAAATGAAGTCATATCTATGGCTAGAAAGGAAAAAAAAACCCTCCATAGCATGAAGCTATCTGTGTTTTGTAATTTTATATTGATTTAAAAGATATGTAAAGCAGAATGCTAAGGATTCAGTTGTCTGTAAATTCAATTTGCACTGATCAACACAAAGAGATGTATTAGGAGTTTGTAAGCTTATTTCTGACTGCCTTATAATGCCCCAAAGACTATTCTGTCATCAACTATCCCGAACGAGTAGGTAAAATATTGGCATCCATCTTTATTGTTGATGCCAAAATGCTGTTGTTGTGCAGAAACAAAGCTGTCCATGCGAAAAATAAATATGTCTTCAAGTTAATTATAAAGTTTTTATATTTAAGTATAAAGTTAAAGTTTATTTTAAGTATAGTTTAATACTAATACCAATTTACTAGGCAATTTACCAAACAGTT